CCACACCCACACCCACACCCACACCCACACCCACACCCACACACCCATACCCACACCCACACCCTCAAGTATCAATGATATATTTAAAAAAAAACAACTGATCTTTATGTTTAAAATATTCATTTACCTGCATTTTCAGGGCGTTTAAATAATGAATTATCACCCTTAGTAATTGAACACATAATAAAATAGAGTACAGCTCGTACAGCATTCGTGTTATCAAAACCAGGTAGAAGAGGAAGAACAACATGAATACGAAATTTTTCAGCATTGCTAATCAACAAGAGAAATTTCTTTAAATATTATATAATAAAAAAAAATACATCATACTTATGTGCTCGTTCTATACGTCGAAGAAGAACATTAGCTAATTGGTTTCGAACTACTGAATCTTGAGCAATAGTAATAAAGAATTGATTCTAAATACGAAATTATAATCAAAAATTGTATTTTTTTTAAAAATTTATCTACTTCAATATATATAAAATGTTTGGCAGCATCAATCATTTGTATATAAATATTATGAATCGATGATTCCTCTGATTTCGTTCCCGCTGACCATGGTCCAACTGAACGAACACACTATACAAAATTCGAGTGAAAATAATTTTTAAAATGAATATTAACCAAAAATAATAACTTACCTGAGCATTTACACGAAACGGTTCACTTTCAAGAAAATCACTCCAGTTTTCAACAGCTAAGTCTTCAACATCATCATAAGACTTAGGTAATAGAAATGGATAAGAATCATTTTTCAGATATGTTTCACACTTAAGAAAAAAAAATTCAACGTTAAAATTTGAAAAATATTTTCTCGTTTTTCTGGTAACTTCTATTTTTAGCAAATAAATCGATAACCAAACAATTAATTAGTTCATTACCAAAGTGATTGCTTATCCTCTGAATTGGTGATCAGATCAGATAGTTGCCAACAGATGACAACGCTATGACGAATCGTCATAGAATAAAAAAAAGTTGCAACATGTTTTCTTATGAAAAAAGAAGTTGCTAGTCAATATATCATATTAGAAAGTCTACTCTCATGTCTTAAATAATGTAACCTATATCAGATTACTTAAATAGATGGAAATGTGTGGTGCGCATATATTTATGTTTGGAGTGTGGCTGTCGCTGTGTGTGTTACTATGAGTGTCCCGATATGGATTTGGGTTGAGAACAGTAGAATTTGAGTATGAATTAGGCAGCACTATAACTGTCTTCCATATACCCACAACCTGTGGCCAACTCTCCGGTCACCATGAAATCTTCATCTATTCGTATCTATTTTGTGAAACACAATCTGAAAGCAGTGTTCAATTACGTAAAGTAGAAATCGGGACCCGATTCTCTCCCTCACAGATCATTTCATACAAAATCAGCGATTATATATCACTAGAATCTCATCAGAATATAACTACTGCTTCCCCATTGCCGTCCTGGACGATTAAGTAAAAAATGATGAATACATAGGTTCCAAAGTATATCCAAAAAAACAATATGCACATGATTAGTAACAACAGCTACATCGTGTTTCACATTTTAATTTAGCAGAGATTGATCTAACAGCTTTTCGATCAAGCAACAGATTTACTGACTTAGTTATCAACTCAGATGATAATCAATCATTTTGGTAATAAACTAATTGGTTATAAAAAAAGTTTACATATAGAATGGATTCTATCTGATTAGACACCCTATGTTTATGAATGCATGTGGCAAAATGCAAGTAAATCATTTTTCTTAACTAACTTTATGAATATTCCAGCGTTGAATAAAATGTCTTGCAACATCTCGAGCGGTTTGACCAAATACAACCAATGCTTCATTATGCCATGGCATACGTAGTACTAGTGTTCGTGCAACACTATCTACAGTACAGTTTACATTAGCAGCTTTGACATAAATCGACAAAACAAATGAAAAAAAAGCAATGACTAATTACCTGTCGTATAGTCTTCAAGTTCTGTGAAATCTCTTTGATATGCATTTGAATAATC